CGACCTTGTTCGAATTAACACCTACCGTCCCCCGGGCGCGACCAAAACTGAGTTCTGTTTTGACCTCGTTCAACACACATAAACCAAGTTTTTATGACTAAAGCGACCATACAGAAAAACAAAAGAAAAAGGCATACGAGCCCGAATAGAAGTAAAAGAGTCAGGTACGAGCAGCGAAAATGACATTTCATAAAATATATTCTTTACAAAGGCTAGAACAGATGCCCACAAAAATATATACAAAACTTACAGGCAAAATGAAAGAAAAACAATTACTCGCCACCTAACCCATCAACGTCATTTATCTGATCGTCTAGGTCATCTCCACCCACCTCTCCGCCAGTACCGTCGCCACCGCCTTTTCAGAATACTCATCCTCATACCAGGCATCTTGTTCGATCCCGTCCACGCCTATGTCCTCCTCGCCATCACCAGCCTCCGGCATAGCGAGATCATAGCCACAAATAGTTCGAGCTGAGCGTGCCTTAGCGCGAGCATCCTCGAAGTCGGTCTCGAAAACCTTCCCCACCGCCATAAAGTCCCTAAATATATCTCGTTGGGCCTCGGCATGGATCCAGATCACGCGGAATGTTAGAAAAAGCAGAAGAGCGAGAAGAGGACGACTGGTCCAATAATTAGGACTTCTCTGCTTCAAGGGCGACAACTCGTTCATTAAGGCCCGAAGCTTCTTTCTCGAACTCCCCTATACGCTCGTCGAGTCGCCCCTCTCTGAGCCTCGCCGTCTCCAAATCACTCGCTCGCTCTGAACGAAGAACGCACATCACGACCTCCGATGCCTCTACTTGCCTCAGAGCCGCCAACTGATCCAATTTTGACTTCTCTAAGTCCGCTATCATCTTGGCGAGCTCATCACCCAGATCATTCACCCTGATTAGACTTTCTTCGAGCTTGGCCCGCAGTGAGATCACTTGGGCTTGAAGGTCGTCGCATTGGGCCTCAACTCCCCTGCTCACTTCGAGATCCTCTTCTTTGACCTTCAACGCCCCCTCGAGCTCACTACATTTTCCAATGACCTTCACCAATTTGTCATCCTTCTCCTTTAGCTCGTCTCGGAGAGCCCGGAAGTTGCTACTCCTACCAAGTCTCATGGAAAGCTCGCGGTGCTTATTACGATACTCTCAGTATTTCCGCTCTATCTTTTGGAAAATGACCTTCCGCCTCTCCTCTCGGCGGGAGCTTTCGATCTCCAAGATCACAGTCTGAAAAGAAAATCTGAAGCGAGTAAGAATAAAATCGGATTCGACATGAACATACAAATAAAATGCCCAACTTACCATTAGAGCAAGGCCGACTATGCTCCTCGACAATGTGGAGTCCTTCAGTTTCTCGAGGGTCTTACCTTCCACGTCGGAATAGAGGGAACCAAGAGAAGGGAACACGTCCTCCGTATCAACTAGCAGATCCCGGTCAAGAGGGATCGTAATGGTCCGCGTGGTTCACTCCAATGTCACCTCGAGCCGGGTGAGTCCTTCTCCCATCATCCTAACATCCTCAGGATCCATATCGGAGCCCGTCTCGTAACCACCCTCAGTAACCCCCTTACCTCTCTCATCAGTAAATGAGGTGGGAACATCAACGAGCCGCGAGGACGATGTCACATCTCGCCGTACAGTACCTAGAACCTCCACAGACACTCCACTAGTTCTGGCGTTGGCATCAGGAAGGGGCACGCTCTCTGCGGCTTCCGCTGATTGCAGGACCTCAGATGGAAAATTTGCACCGTCTTCAGGCACAACGGAGGCCGGTTCGCATTCGTTCTTTGTAGAATCTACGGCTCGGATTGTCCCATTGCCGACGGCCACCGACCTCCTTTTATGAGGGACCAAATCCTCCTCGCTCGGTGAAGAATCTTCATTTATTAAATAAAGCAAGGGAGAGGCCGGAGTCTCTAGTATTGAAGCCGTCGACGATCGAGCCGACATAGCCAAAATCGGAGGCCGAATAGAAGTGGATGATCGGGCAAGCTTGGTTACAGTAATAGCAAGGGGCGGACTCCATTATAGTGTTCATCTGGCGAAACGCATGAGTAGGGGCCTTCGACCTCCTCGAGGATCCCCGGGCTAAAAACAAAAAAGAACAAAAAGAAGATTAAGAGGTCGATTCCCACAAAACAATAAGAAGCAAGCGACCAGAAGGTCACGACAATAAAGATTCAAAACGGGTAAACTCACTGGTCGCTGAAATCTTGGGTCCAAACTTTTTGATAAAGGCCGACTATTTGCGAATCCTCACTGTGTGAGGCAAGACCTGGCTAACCCAGTCATGAATATCCGTAACCAAATGAGGGGGCGAAGTCTTAGCTCAGCGAGGAAAAGGTAGAGTGTTAGGCTAAAATCAAAATGAGCAAAATAAGCGCTTAGTAAAAAATACTTACGGGCATAATTCCATGCCTGAGGAAATCCATTCGCATTTGTCACCATGTTCTTGGTCTTGACGTAGAAGTAGCTATGCCAGAACCGACGATTTGCTTTGTCGTCTATCTTTACTACCAAACTCTTACTTCCTCGGTGACGAAGATGCAACATCGCCCCCTATAGAAACTAGGCACGAAGAGGTGTATCATGTGGCGAAGAGAGATCCCGCAGCCGGCCAATTCCGCATACTTCGTCAACATGCGGATGAGTTTGTAGATGTAAGATGAAAGTTGGGCCAGAAAAATGCCGTAGTAGCGGAAAAATTCCTCCGCCAATAGGAGACGGGGAAATGAGTAGCCCATATAGAACTAATACGCGTAGAAAGTGCAGTATCCGGGGCGATGAATCTGCACCACGTCACGACCTTCCGGGACCAGATCGATGTGGGCCAGAATTTTGAACTTCGCCCTGAAATTAGCAAGGGCAACCACATCCATCACCGATTCCGTGGCCTCAGGGTCGTCCTTGGGTGGTTTTGAAAAGTCAGATCTAGCCTTCTCGTTACAGAAAATTATTTTATCCACCATAGGAAAGCTTTCATACTCCGCAACAATGGCAACCCCATCATCATGGGGAGGTATGCGCACTGCCAAGGGAACAGGGTCAGGTAACCCCCCCCCCCAGAACTGGAAGACACGTTAACCATCTTTGTTTATGAATAAAAGAGGTGTAAACACAGAAGAGTCAAGATTCTGAAGTAAGATCAAAAGAGCAAGGATTCTGAATGAGGAAGGAAGAAGAAGGTATGAAGGTCTAATATTTAGATTGCAAAGAGTAAGGCAAAGGATTTTGTATCCCTATTTATAAGAGTTCATGCGTCAATATCGAGAAAGCAAACCGTCGTTACCTAACTCAGGAATCGAAGCGGCAGAGGCACGGAAAACGATGCAAGGTATCTGAAAAACGCGTAATAATGACGTATGATGATATGACGCCACTCTGAAACGACGTGACCCTGGGTTGCGTCTCACGGAAGGCCACGTTTTCACCCCGTCTGCAATGCTACTACTCGACCTGCTCATCTAAACTTCTCAACCATAACTAGCAGAGTCCGCTCATCGAGGTCGTCCAGGGTCAACATTAATAAGCGGAGGGACTAACTGTATAGGTCAAAATCTGCCTTAATGGGATTTAGCATGGAGTGATATTATGGAAAGTGATGTGGCCGAGGTCGACTAGAGGACAACGGGGCTCGTAGCCGGGCGGTCAATAACGGCCAAGGTCAAGTATCAAGGATAGTGCTAACAACTAGTTTTTGTAATATGATATTTAAGGGAATATTTCACTGAATATTCTATGTACTGGTACTTTTAGGGTTGATTGGGGATATATTCCATATAAATAGAAAAAAAGATAAGGGGATGGGCATGTAATATTTTGGGATACGAGCACTTTTTGAGAAGAAGACTCCCTAGAAAAGATACAAACATTACCTTTCTAATAATATTCTACCATTCATTATTCTAGACTTTTCCATCAGATCCGAGAATAGTTCCAATATTCTAGGATTTGTCTATCACTCATCACCATGAGAAAGAAGAATCATCCACCTCATTCAATATTGGGTGAATCATTCTCCTTATTTACGTGAATGTCATTTATTGTTATTTATTGCTTGATATTCTTTCATCATTACTCCTCTTGTAATATTAAAAACACGCTGCATTTAATCTCCCACCAACATTACCCTGCGTTATTTGTGTTAGCTAGTTAAAAATCCAAGGATATTATTATCAACTAGGCTTAATCCTTCATTACATAAAATTAACTAGTTTAACCGGAGATTTACACTTTTCGGTCATACATATCTAACTTAAAACATAATATTTATTTTTCTATACCATATGTTTAGGTCGTGATAATAGATCCAAACATCCAATTGTATACTACTATAATTTATTTCACAAACCAAACAGTCTGTTAGCGTCTTTTCATTCTGCTAGTGTCTTTTCGCAAACCAAACATCCATATATGTGTAGCACCGTAAGATTTCTTTATTTCCTTTTCATTCTCTATGACAAATTAAGCACAATAACATTTCAATTTGTCTGAATTTTTTCAGAGTACAAAGGTCAAAATAGCTAATTTTTGGTATAAAGTAGTAAATAGACTCTTTAAGTTTTTTAAAATAAAATTTATATATTTAAAAATTATATAAAAAGTACTATAAGTCAAAATAGTTAACAATTTAAATTATTTAAAAAATATTTATAAAAAAGACTGATCAAATAAAATCTTATACTCACTAAATAGTAAAAAGTTCATTCCTTTTTAATGAGGGGAGTAGAGTTCGATACTTCCGAAATGTTTTTTTCTCTTTTTCTTATGCCTCCATTCAAAAACAAAAAAACAAAAAAAAACAGAGAGAGAGAGATTGCAGAGTTGCAGTGACAGTGTGACACGCACGATGGCAGTAAAATGAATAGAAAAAATGGAAGAGCCAAGAGGGAGGTCCCACGTGCCTCTCTCTGTCTTTCACAGTTTCTCACCTGTAAACGTGAAGTCTTAACTCATAAAAAACTATACTCCACACCACTGTAGTAATTGAAATCCTACCCCCTGGTTTTTGCAGTAGCAAAGGCTTTGTTTCTTTGACAACGTAGCTCAGGTTGTGGGGTTTGACAGATCTAATACTTTTCTCTTACGTCTCTCTATTTAAAGCTACCCCTCATTCCTCTATTTTATGCTTTCTTCACACGCTCTCCCTATTTACTTCACGCCTCGTTACATCATTTTCTCTGGCAACTACTACTTCTTCTTCTTCTGCACTACCCCATTACATCATTTCCTTTACAACTACTACTTTTTCTTCTCCATATTTACACGAAGATATACACAACACAAAACCGTGCTTATTTGCAAGTTCCCAAGACTTGTAGGCATGGTTCTACTTCGGTTTCTATTTCGGTGATTGATTTCTGTCTCACACTTCTGGAATCTTATCGTACGTTCTACATAGGTGAGTGTGAAGAGGTCAGAGTCCTCTCTGTCCTTTCATTCTTTTATTATTGGTTGACAAGTCAGCTTCGATTAATCAGCTTCTCTCAATTACTATAAAGTTTCCATCACATCGTCTCTATCTCACTAGTAACCAAATCCCCCCAACCAATTTCTTCTATTCATCTTTAATTTCAGGCAGAAAAAGTGAAGTAAGTCACCATTGTTAGTAGTACTACGTAGAAATTCTGTGCATTTTGATAATACTACTACTAGTAGTTTGCATTTATCAATCATGGGAAATTGCCAAGCGGCAGAGGCGGCAACAGTGGTGATTCAACATCCAGGTAACAAAGTGGAGAGAATTTACTGGTCTACAAGTGCACATGAAGTCATGAGCTCAAATCCTGGCCATTACGTCGCCCTTGTTATCTCTTCTCCAACTGATCAGAGAACACACAATGGTTCGCCCGTTAGGCAGCTCAAGCTTCTCCGACCCGGCGATACTTTACTTCTTGGACAAGTTTATCGACTCATCAGCTTCGAAGGTAAAAAGAAAATTCAGACATGATCATGTAACTTTTTTTTTTTTGAAAAAGCTAAGTACCATTCTTTTCTCAAAAATTTTCCTTGATCATTTTCCTCAGATGTACTGAAAGAGTTTGCAGCAAAGAAGTGCATGAAACTTGGCAAGTTACTAAGAGAAAGTGGAGGCCTCGTTCTTGATTCCAAGAAAATCTCGACCGATTCACCAGCAGTGAACGCCAAGTCGAGATTGGTGAATGGGATCCAAGCTAAGGTAATTAATTCTTGCAATTCCCTTAGGACCATTTGGATGTAGATATTTGATCTTGATGTGTTTTAAATTCTCAGCTCTAAGTCATTTTCACCCTTTTAATATACCCAACGACCAACTGAATACAAAGTTACAAACTTAAATTACTATAGGACTATTTATTTTAACTCTTCTTTTGCAGTTATTTAAATGATACTAGAAGATTTTGTTAGTATTTAATTTTGAAAGTGAGTAAAAAATTTGGCTTGCAATTTAGGATTAATCTGTTGTCTTTGATCTAGGTAGATTTGGTGTTGCAAAGTAAGATTGCTACACCTTCCTTCAATTGTCGTATACAGAATAGCATCTTTACCATCCGTAAAGTTGAGTGCATTAAACGAAAAGCTTGTAACTTGATAAATACTTAATAAAACAGAGACATGTTTTGTACCATGGATAGTGATATTGGGCTTGCTTTCCTGTCTCTGTTTTACCTATGAAGTATGGCAAGTGATATTATTGCCTATGAGGCCATGATGATCTGAGATTTGACGGGAATTGGTATATTTGGTTGGTGGTATCATTTGCGTAACTACATTATTTTACACATGCCTGAAATAATTGTTTAGGAAAATAATAGTATATCCTTGAAATAATTGTCTCTATAATAAATAGGGGATGCAGTTTGGTAGGTAATTATTCGAAAAAGGGTTTCCTATACTTTGTTTTTTTGCTAGTCAAACTAATGCATATTTTACCAAGACTTTCTGAATATATTGTCATGTTGTAGTCGTAATTAGTGCATTTAGCTCTAGTTCGATTTTGAGAGTTCGTTAAATTGAACTTCAAGGAATATGTATTCCATCAATTTAGTTAGATGAATCTATCCAACTTTAAACTCTCTATTTTCCAGCAATTATTGAGTTACCTCAATTGAGTAGCATATATTGGTAGTGGGACAACACTAGGGTGGGCAAAGATCAAAATTAGGATATGATACAATTTATAAAGGAGAAAGGCTGACTAGAATTATGCATCTTTCATTTTTGCTTGCTTGGTTTGTTAAAATGAAATAATGGAAGGATGTGTTTTTCCTTGGTTATTATGAAAAGCTATGGTAGTATCTTAATAAGAAGTGGTATTAGCCTGCGTAGAAACTATTTATATTTGGCAGGAAAAAGTGTATAAAATTTATATAATTTTTTTATATAACATAGAATGTGTATATATATATATATATATATATATACAGAAAATATATAAAAAATATATATTTTTTGGTTATTATTTTGAGAGCGGCGATATGGCGTAATTTTCTTTAATAAGAAGCCATTAATAGGAGGTCTGGTGAGAATATCAAGGTCTGGTGAGAATATCTCTCTTGATCATTATACTTCCATATGTTTTAGTCCACTTCCCAATTTTGCGGGCTTTATCTCTGTCGATCATAAAGGGTATCACATGGGTATTTTTATATTCGTTTTTTGGAGTTGAAGGAGAAATTAAAGTATAATGCAAGAGTTTACCAGAATATCAAGTGGTTGTTAGAGTATTATAATATTTCTTTTTGCTGTTTCATTGTCAGTAATAATCTTTTAGGGCATATATGAGTTTTAAAATAGCGAAGAGGCACTGAATCTATTTTCTCCATCTCCAAGTGTTTTACTTCCAGAGCGCCAATCAGAAACTGTTGTTAAATGCACCATAAGGCGTGGCCTCTGGTTTAACGAAACGATGATTACTTAAAGAGACAATGAAAACTACTACTAATATTAAAAGTACCAAAGCCAACTTCTAAATTAATAGTCATGCAGTCGCACATTACTTGGATTTAGTCTAGCCTTGGCCCTTGTGACATAACAGGCTGAGGATGAATTATTAATTTCAAACCCTTTGACTTTCAAATATAAAGCAAGGGGAGAATCATTATTAATAAATTTCAGTTTGCAAACTTAAAGGAATATTGTGATGAAAATGTACTTAAATTATGTCATCGTATGACTAGATCATTTAATTTTAACATAATGGGCGCCTGACAAAGTGACGAGAGAGATACTGTTCCAAACATAATTGAATTGGTCATTGGTAAATGGCGGTCTGAAAAACGCAGTGTTTTGCTAATAGAATGGCTTTGCTTTTACAATTTGTTTTTCTGCAGCATTATCTTTTAGCTCAAAATTCATGCATCTTTGTGCACTTTTTTTCAGATGGAACAGGAGACTTATCAACAAGGAAGTAGCAGCAGCAGCAGTGGGCAGAGCCAGAGGAGTGTGGTGGGAAGACATAATGGTGGGGGGCAATGGAAACCAGCCTTACAGAGTATTGCAGAGATTGGAACTTGAACTCACTCACCCTAAGCAGAAGCGCCACTCCTATCTCAATTACATACTTCCCTAGCGACTAAGCCTTTCCAAAATAAGAAATTGGCTTTTCTCAAATGCCCCTACTTTAGTTTAGAAAATTAAACCCACTTAATTAGTACAATGGGAGTTGATGTTCGACGGACCCAATCTAAAGAATTGTAGTTTACCTTATTTTCAAGTTTGGCATAATTAAACAATTACCGTCATTTGAGAATATTTCTATTCTCAAAATCCTTGCAAATTACTACAAAGCGATCAACTAGATAGGGAACAGTAAGTATTATGAATGTGTCCTGGTTTTGATTTAGGTTATGGGTGTTAAGGGGCCGGGCGATCCGGGCTAGAAAAAAAGGGACCTGTCGGTCTTGGTACCGGTTACAATTTATTGGGTTTACCGGTTCCAGGCTTAGCCGGTGCTAAGTGGAATCGGAACGGTTCTAGGCCTAATGGGCTGGACCGAGCCGGTCTTAGTTTAAATAAAATAAGTATCGTAAGACATAAAATTAAACTTTTAAAGTTTAAAGTTTAAACTTTAAAGTGTTAAATTTGAAATTTGAAATTAAGTGGCTACAAATTATTTAATAAGACCAATATGTAAGGATCGAACTTCAAAGACTTTCATTTTTTATTTTCATTACATAATAATACTTCAAATTAACTTGTTTAATAAACTAACACATTAAGCTTAAATAAGTCTAATAAATTTAAAATAACACAGATTGTCTCAAATCAACTTCAATACGAATTCCTGGATGACGCTCAAGACAACTCTTGATATGCCTCCTTAAACCAGTTGTGCCCTCCCACTTTCGACGAACATAAAAGACTCGACCATAGTTCTTGCATTCTGCTTTGCGAACTTCTACATTTTCTTCTATTACCTCAAAGTGTTCCCAAACATGTGAGCGCACTCTAGAAGCACGGGGCATGATTTAACTTGAATTGAGAATTTGGGTTTGAGAATTGAGAGATGAGCGAAAAAAAGATGAGGGGGAGGGGGAGGGGGGGTCTAATATAGTTTTTTAAATGGTTAAATTAGTAAAAATAAAAGTACTATTTTTTTTAAAAAGATCCAAAATGGCTATTTTTGCAATTAAGGTCGTTGGACAACGGTCAAAAGGGGAGCTGACCGTTACCAACGGTCAAATATTTTTTATAAAAATAATAATTTAAAACTAGCCGTTGAACCGGTCTGGGCCGGTCTGATTCACCGGTTAAAGCTTGACATGACATTACCGGTTTGGACCGGTTAGATTAATCGGTATCCAAATCTACACCGGCACAGGCACAAGCACAAGCTGGTTCATTGTTCAGCCTAATCCGACCCCTTTACCACCGGGCCGGTCCAGTCCGGTCGAAAATCGATCTGGGCCAATCCAGAATCGGGTCAACCTGGCCCGTTTGATAGGTTTAATTCAGGTTCTTCTGAGATAAATTATTCAATATTTAGACGTTATACCAAAACTATTGTTAGTATTAAGGCGTGTGTATTTTGGTGTATATATGGATAGTAAATATATTGTATGTGTTAAGACTAGGAGAATTTTCCTTTTTCATATTTATTAGGAGAGTTTTCCTTTTTCATATTTATTAGGACTAGTTTTTCATATTTGTTAGGAGTAGTGGTGGTGATGAAACAAACAAACGAAAGACCATCTATCCGTACGATATAACATCTAATGACAATCATGGGATTTTGATAACACATATGGCACTGAAGGGACAAAACTATAATGAATGGGCAAGGTCCATGAGGACCGCCTTGAGGGCAAGGAAGATGTTCGGATTTGTTGATGGAACAATCAGGAGACCGAATGAGAAGTCTCTAGATCGTAAAGATTGGTGGACCATCAACTCGTTATTGCCTTGGATTTGGAATGCTATCGAGCCTACATTACGTTCGTCTATACCACACATGGAAGTTGCTAGAGATTTATAGACTAATATTGAAGAACGTTTCTCGGTCTTTAGTGGTCCAACAATGCAACAGTTGAAGGCCGAACTTGTGGATTGCAAACAGAAGGGCATGACCATAATTAATTACTATGGAAAATTAACAAAACTCTGGGAAGAATTTGCTAATTTTGATCAAACACCGACTTGCACATGTGATAAGTTCACATGCGATCTTGGTGCAATCTTGGAAAAGAAAAGGCAAGAGGAGAAGGTGCATCTTTTTCTTACGGTTTTAGATGAAACACTGTATGGAATAGTGAGGTCGAACTTGTTCGCTCAAGATCCGTTGCCATCTTTGATTGAGTTTACTCGAAGTTAGTACAAGACGATGGGCTCAAGGGACAGATGAATGTGGCGATGTCATCATCTTTTAAATTATAAAAATATCTAGAGAGTTTTGCCGAAATTCTAAGTAAGTACGTATGTTATCACGTTCTAACTTTTATTAGCGACGTTTATATGATATTTTAAAAAAAATATCAAAAAGTAACTGAATCGTACCAATATCGAAAACAAAACCGAGATAATTGGGACGATTTCGAAAAGTCTAATTCTGTTAATACAAAATAGAATAATCAAAAAGTTGATACAATATAAATTTTATAAAATAACCGATCGAACCGAACCATTAACACCCGAGGAGAAAGGAGAAAAAGAATGAATTTGCCTTTTAAGAGCTCTATCAAGCTCTTCTAACCTTCAAAAGAGAGAATGACCCGGTCTGAGCTTTGGAGAGAGAAAAAGAATGAGATGGAGAACGAGCATAACAAGAAAGAAAAAACTTTGCATTATTGGGCGAAACAAATTTTCGACTCATAAGTTATTATTTTTTGAATGGATAATATAAGTTAGATTCATATTTAACTCACTTTTAATAAATCAAGTTGCCAACTTATTTTTTGAGCGGAATATATGAGCGAATACATATAAATTTTATTCATTTTGCCAACACTAATTGTGGCCAAGGGTGAATACAACATTATAGGGACGAGTTCAATTGAACTCATAACTTTCGACTTGATGTATAAATTTATGTATAGAATTCATTAAAATTATAAATACGAATCCATAACTATAAAAATATAATAAATTCAATGCTAAGAACCTTAAAAATTGAACTCATAAATTTTAAATTCCGATCCGATTACCCCATCCACAACTCCAATCCCATCCGCGACCCTAGCAAGTTGTTTAAATTTTCTCTTGAGCTTCTCTCTCAAGCATCCTCATTGAAACACTTGCTTTTGTACCATTGGATCGTCCAACCAAGTTTCAAATAGTGTTCTGTTAGTAAGCGGACAACTTGGGGTATTTCTGTTCTTATTTGGAGCTTAACCGATTAGAGCTAAAATATTGCAAGCATACTTATAAGTTACACATATTTGGTATAGTAGCATTCGTTATTTCCTCTGTTTATGACAGAGTGAAAGGGATTGATCTTCGAGCTATAAATATTTGTTCATTTCAGTATATATTTTTGTCGCGACCCAATTTTCTCCATAGGCCATGATGACGCCCAACGTCACCGCCAGACAAGCCAACGGTAAACTAGTCATGTATTTGTTTTTGTTAATAATTTCAAAGTAATTGATTTTATTTATTTAAGAGAATGATTAATAGGAAATTATAGTAAAGTAAAGCATAAACTAATAAGAGAGCAAATACAGTGAATTTAATACTCAAAACCGTAATGTGACTACTAGAATACTCTCAAAACCCGGTGTCACAAGTGTATGAGCAACTAGTAGAATATATAAAATCACCTATACTACTGTCTGGAATAAGATAGACAGAAAGTAAATACAAAAGAGAGACTGCGGGTACTGCAGAACGGACACAAAGAGCAGCTCACCACTATGCCTCGGGGTAACGGGGGTATGCGCCTGAATGACTGTCAGATGCACCTGCCTCAGATCCTGCATGATTAGTGCTGAAGTGTGGCATGAGTACATAAACAACATGTACTCAGTAAGTATCTAGTCTAACCTCGAAGAAATAGTGACGAGGGGTCGATATCGACACTTACTATGGGCCAATAAATAAACTACAGAAATTCAAAATAGGCATGGAATACATCAATAATATTAACGTAATAATGAACGGTAAATAAGTGACTCTTTAACTAGATGTCAATTAAGAGCTCCAATTAGCACCTACTAACTTCTACAAATACGAGCCATCAAGTAAATTATATTTTTGTCAAGTCATGGAAGTAATATCAAGTGGGACTCCGAGCATTATTACACATGATTTATATCGAGGTCGTACGACCCGATCCAGAATAATGTGTACACTGCCGAGGGTCGATCGACGCGAACCATAAATGCATCTATTATACTGCCGAGGCGTTCGGCCCGTTCCACAAGAAGAGAGAATACTCTACGAACTCCGATTTAATGGCTACTACAAGACTAATATACAAGGAGGCACAATTTCTACCAACGGTCAAGTAACCCGCCAAAACTCAAAGTAAATAAAATTCGATCTTTACGAATCCTTTATCAAGTTTCAATATAATTTAAGTACTTAAATTAACAAGTAGAGTGCAATTAATATAAGTATTACATGATAGAGTCCTATAAATATCCGGACATAAGCATGATTTGTAGCTACGCACGGATTCTCGTCACTTCGAGCATACATAGCACCCACATTTAGTAACATATAATTTAAAATACCTATGGGGTAAATTCCCTCTTATAAGGTTAGGCAAGAGACTTATCTCGTTCCAAAGTTCACTTTCCGGTCCCCGTATCACTCTAAAAGCCTCTAGTCAGTGCCGAACAATCTGAAACCCAGCCAAATATTATATAAATTAATCAATATATACTCAAAAGGTCATAATTTAGCTATTAGAGTAATTACCCTACCCAAATTGGGGATTTCAGAAATTTTTGAAGATAAATATTACCCATAACCTCACGAACCCAAATATATAATTTCTACTCAATTCCATAATCATTTTCTTGGTCTAATCCCATATTTATCAAAACCTAAATTTTCCAACATTCTCCTAAAATTTTTACAATTTCTATGCTAAAATCTACCCGTAATGCATGATTTAAACTCATAATGTATAGAAATTACTTATCTCAAAGTGCTAGTTAAAAATCCCTCGTCAAAGAGCTCTAAATTCGACCAACAAGTGAGAAAAATGAAGAAAATGAGCCTAAGTCCCGATTTTAAAATACACTGCCCAGGTATTTTCTTCTTCGCGATCGCGGAAGAGGCCTCGCGATCGCGAAGGCAAGCTGCCTAAG